TGATGTAATGAAAATGTTCTGCTTGGACATCCTCTTGAGAGGAGTATGACTGACAGCCTAACTGAGCTGTGACCTTTCTGCAGTAATAATGCAGCCCCATTTCTAGGAGTTGTGACATTCTTCAATGGGCTACTTTTGCTCGTGGCCTCTCCATCAACCTGACTGAGATGTCTTAGAACTGGACTGTAATCAGAAATGCTTCATTCACACTTTTCTGCCTTCTCCATCTTCTTCCTCGCTGCCAGATCTGCTTTATGACCTGAAGATTCTTCTTACCTTTCAGTGTTATCATCCACATGTCCTTTTTTTCACAATAAATACCTTTCAGTAGTCAATATACTAATAATTATTTGTCTTGATCTGCTTCTCAGAAGACTTATAGTTCTGGGGAAATGTCAGCAGCTTTACACTGAACATTCTGGTTGTGCTGTGTTTGTTGACCAACTACTGGACATATGCAGGAAGTGAGAGGAGAGGTCTAGTTTCCACATAGTGATTTAGAATCTGACAAAATATCAGTGATATTTAAGCTGCGAAACAAGATTATTTTATCAAGGGCATAGTATAAAAATAGAAGCGAAAAAAGCTGATCATTTGGTCCTGGTAGACCATCTCAATCAGAAAAGATGGTGCATATGAGAAAGGGTGAAACTAAGGAGCTGTGAAGTGCTGAGTCAGGTTAAGGAAGTATTTCAAGGAACTGTCTGTTATTAACCTTGGAAAATAATGATAATGGAGTGAGTAATATGCATCTTGAACACTGATGACTGGTTAACGCTGAGGGAGAATTGATGAACACAAGAACACTAGTTTTATAGCAGATATATCAGTAGACGACTGACAAGTGGATCTTTCAAGAAAAATAAAAGAAACTGAGTAGAGTCATGGAGAGAGTAGATGTAGCAAATGTTCTCAAGGGGTTTTGTCATGAAGAACAGAAAATTGGGCATTCTCCAGATAATAATAGTTTCAAAGCATTTATTTGCCTCCATTTTTTCCTCTGCTTTTAATATGGGAAAACTGAATCATTTATGTTCTGATAAAAACATTCAGTGGGGATGGGGAAAACATGATAGTCTGGTAGGGAGAACGGAAAGACTTCCTGAGGCAATCCTTAAAATTGGAGAGAAGAGTTGGAGGAACAACTCTGGTAATAGAAAGGCAGAAAGAAGAGGAACAGATGGAAGTGGGAGGATAAATGTGGGTTCTGGTTCTTGTAGAACATCTCTTCTATGATTCAAATTTATGAGTGAAGGAAGAGTCAAAGGAAGGTGTTAGTGGCACCCATTTATTTTGAGAATGAATGGGCTTGGGGATTTCAGGTTGATTGCTCAGAGCCTAAGAAAGCAAACTGGGCTGTAGACATGAATGTCAATTGGGAACAGTCAGCATTCATTGCTGTCTTCAGTGGCCATGACCTGATCTACAGAGGCAGACACAAGTAGGCTTTAATTAGATCTCATTGGAGCTGCTTCATTCTTGATTGAATACTAGAAAGGAAGAGTTCAACAGAGTTGAGGGCATATGAGGGAGTGATTATAATGTGAATGGAGTGAGGATATTAGAGGAGTGAGTATTCAGGCTCTTCTAGTCCTTTTAAAGTCATAGCACACAAGCAGTTGCCTGTGGGACTGATTAGCAAACTTCTAATATATTTTCCTGACATGTATCAGCATGGCTTGCAGAGAGGATTGGGGTGTTTTGTAAAGACCCATCACCAAGGAGGCATTGGAACACAGCATTTGTCAACCAAATATGTTTTCAATTCTTGTACTAGAATTAAAGGATTGAGAAGACAGAGAAATTAGCGGTTAATTTTTCAAAAGAATAGGATTTTCATATTAATACAATGTGTTAGTATTTGTCACAGAAGTATGCTTGCCCAAGGATAATGTTTTGCTTAGGCTGCTTGGGTCTGCACACATATTTTCTGTAAGAGCTAGTCAAAGGAATTTAATGAGAGTAAGAATTCCACAGAACAAAGATTTTGACCTCAGTGAACTCCTTTGTGCATTCCACATTATACTTACTACTACTATACATTAAAACAAATGAAACCACTCCTTGCACATTTATGTGTATGTGTTTGGGAAAATAACAAAAAAAAACCATGAATATGATATCAGTCCTGCTAAAGAATAAAATTGCTTTTTAGATTTTCAAACATTGCTTCTGTGCATTCAAAATTTTTATTATATTAAATTTATTCATTCATTTACTTAATGTGTTTATATGTGTGCAGGTACATGTCTAGGATGTAAACCATGTGATACAGAAGTGTATGTAGCGGTTAGAGGACAAACTGTGGGAGTTGGTTCTTTCCCTTTTGAGATAGGGCTTCCTTGTAGTCCCACCTGGCCTAGAACTCCCTGTGTAAATCAGGCTAGTCTCAATCTCACAGAGATCTGCCTGCCTCTGCCTCCCGAGTGCTGGGATTAAGGGCCTGTGCCATTATGCATGGGTGGTTCTTTCCTCTCACCTGAGTATTGAACTCATGCCATCAGGCTTTGTAGCAGATAACTTTACTTGCTGATTCATCTCATTGGCTCATAAAATGTTTCTTTTTAAAGATTCATTTTTATTTGTATTCATGTGTATATGTGTATGCCTATGTGAGTTTATGCCATGTGTATGTGGGTACCCTTGGAGCTGGAGTTATAAGCAATTGTGAGCCTCCTGACATGGGTTCTGGGAATTGAACCTTGGTCCTCTGAAAGAGCAGTAAGTGCTCTTAACAACTATCCAGGCCCCTCCCCCTAAACACTTTTAATTTATGTTTGTTAAATAGCTTAGAGAAAGACAATAACTCACCTATTTTAAACTTCTAAATAAATTAAATATTGCTTTACAGCAAGAAGTCTTGGACTTTCAAATAATGTACAATGGTTCCATAATGATGAGGTATGAAATTAACAGAGTTCTTTCTTTGGTTTATTTTTTAATTTAAATTTGGTTTGCTTATATGTATATTGGTTGAATAAGTACAAAGATATTTTGTAAAACAACAAATTCACCTAAACAATTATATTTTTCAATATTTCAAAACTTTTAAAATATTTTTTTAGAAATATCTATATCTTGACAAAATTGATATGGTTGACAAACTACATTCATAGAGAATATTTTGAACATGCTCTGTTAGGAAGAAGTACATGTATAATATGATATGTATATCATCCCAATTATATATATATATATGATATGTATATCATAGACATAATTTTATTGCAAAATTTTAATTGTTAGTTATTCTAAAGACAAATTCATTTGTTCTATAAAAGTTATGTTTTCCACACATCATCCCACATGTATGAATATTTTTAAGGCACAATAAACCTTTCCATTCACAAGACATTTGTTTGTGTGCCTATAAAATAAATACCTATGCATAGGTTGTATAGGAAGAATAATATCCATAATGTGTGTGTGTGTGTTTAAAAATAAGCATTTTAATGCTAGGTGCAATAGTGTACACCTTTAATCCCAGCACTTGGGAGGCAGAAGCAGACAGAACTTTATGAGACTAAGGCCAGCCTGTGCTACACAGTGAGTTCCAGACCATCAGAGGCTACAGGGAGACTCTTTCTAAATACAACACCAACAAAAAATCTATAATGTAATTTTAGGACTCTCATTTTCAGAGTCAAGTATATTAATGTTTGATCCTAACTCTGCCACCTATGGCTGTGTGAACTTAGATAAGTTAGATAAGTTTTGTCATTTGTCTTCTCCATGTCTTTAAATAGAGTATTAAATATAAGAGAACATGACGTGGTCTTGATTAACAAATCATCTCTAGTGCCAATACTCATAAGGATTTAAAATAAATAGTTGTGGAATTAATAAATATATAAAATATATTTAGAATATCATAAGAATAACAATTATATAATTGGGATATTCTAAAACTAATATGACATAATATAGGCTATATACAGAGCATATTCCAGTAAAAATTCTAGAAAAGACAGAATAATTTGTCTTCTGTTTCTAACCTCTGGTACCCATTCAGACTCTGAATGGATTAATGTTGGGACCACAGGTCCTGAGTCATGCTCTAGGACCCTTGTCTTTGTGTAAGAAAAGAATATTTATTTTAATAGTTTTCATTTCTTATAAATATCTTGTAATATTTAAAAGAAATGCAAACAAGTTAAATTGTTTTAAAGTACCTTCGTATGCAATCAAAAACTCATGTCATGGAAATGTGTTCATATTTTACACATGCACACTGGAAAACAGGAGGTAGGTCTTGCAGTATTGCTTTGTTTTCGTAGTGCATAAATGTTTACACATCCAAAATCTGAATGCAATTACAAGCTGTGGTGTCTTATAAATGATTGGCATTTTTTTGCTGGCTTAGTATTTCAAAATATGGTAAGATTTCTCAAATACAGTTGGTGAAATATGCAGTCGTGTATTAAATATGCATGTATTATATAGGTATATTAAAACAAATGTTTTTCTTTCCTTTTTCCCTTTTCCTCCCCTCCCTTACTCCCTCCTTCCCTCTCTCCCTCCCTCTTTCCTTCTTTCCTTCCCTCCCTTACCCCCTCTTCCCTTTCCCCCTCCTCTTTCCTTCTCTCCTTCCCTCCTTCCCTTTCTTCCTTCCTTTCTTTTAAAGAGTTTTACCATACCTTGAACTTGTTATGTAGTCCAGAATGTACTTGAACGTTTTAGTCTAAGATGGCCTTGAATTTGCTATGAAGTCCAGGCAGCCCAGGCTGGCCTCAGACTCGATCCTCCTGTCTCAGTTTCCCAGGTGCTAGGTCTATAGCCTTATATCACCTTCCCAGGCTTTAAAGCAAGGTTTTTCAATACTTAATTACTGTATACCCCAGCAAGAAATCTAAGTATTTTTCTTAAATTTATTCCCTTTGGAGTGTTAATATCATAGATTATCTGTTATGTGTGGATGTGCACCACATGTACATCGGTTTTATACACAGGAAGAGTAAGACTTTCCACCCAAGAACAAATTTTATTCTCTTTAGGGGTTATTGAATACATCAAGAAAGTAGGTTTTAAGGGAATTATTTGTTATTCTTTTGAAAATATCATCAAGGTACTTAGAATCAGACTTGTTTCTTAACTTTAAAATTTTGGCTTTAATTATATGCCAGAATTTCTAAGAATTTTATTACTATAGTGTATGTCAAAATGCTGTCAAAATGCCTACAAAATCTGAACATTTGTTATTTACTCCAACAGTCAGAAGCTGTCCATAATATTTTTTTGTTAACAAATAAAAGATCTTCAAGTTCATTAAATGTTGTCATTCAACATATTCTCATTTGTGAAATAAGGCTATTTACTCAGTTTAGTGTATAAATTTAGGATTTTTCACTACTTTGCTTTTACATATTCATGCTTTGAAAGGCATAACTTAAACAATACATCCATAATGAGACATTTTACAACCATCTAATTTTCATGGAGAACTGAAAACGTTGCTGCTTCCACTCAGCTGGGAAGATGAAGCTGTGCAGGCTCTTGAAGCCTGTGCAACACTCACCCACTGCCCTCTCAGTAGCTTGAGGTCTCCACCTGCGACAGGAGTGGTGGGATACAGACCTCTGATCATTTGGCCCTAGTGCTTTTTACTTGATGGAAAATAGAGGCACAATCTTTGACCACTAAGACAGAGTGTTCTCTTGGAAAGCTAATTTATACTTAACAGCTTTAACTGATGGAGAAAGGAGTAATTTATTTGGAGAGTATCTTTAAATAGCAAAGAAGTTCAATGTGTTTTTAAAATGTTCTCTCATCTTTTCTCTAAACTGCAGTTTAACTTCTGTTTAAAAATATCTAGTGTTGCAGAAATCTTCTAAAACTAATGATACATGAATGTTTTGACTTTGATAATGTATTGAAATTATAAAGATTTGAAAATTCAGATTCAATTGTATTTGGTTGTACTAATTGTCTATGTTGGAGACTTAAGTGTGTCAAAATAATATATAGTTGCCATGGGAGATGTAAAATATAAACCAATACATCAGAAACAATTAAGATGAGTAATTCTCAACAGACTCATCATCAATGCACAGACATCCATAGTAGCAAGGCTGAATCAATCCAGATAAATGTACAGGTATTTTGCAAATAACTTGAAGGTGAATTTAAAACCAGAAATCATCACCACCGCTGCTCCTAGTACTTGCTCTTTCCCTGCCTTTTAATCGAAGCATCTCCATGATGCTCCGGGCATAGACATCTCTCAAGTTAACACTGATATATGAGTCAGTGGCTATATTCTTGGTGAGCTTCTTCAGAGCTTCACGCTGTCTAACAGCTGCTTCCTTTAGTTTCAAGGTAAAGTAGCAAGCAGAGAAACGATCGTTAATAATAGCAATAGGCAAGGCCAAGACCAGGATTCCTGATAGGATACACATGAAAGCCACAATTTTGCCTGTGGTGGTATCTGGTCTAATGTCACCATATCCCACTGTAGTCATGGATGTTGTGGCCCACCACCACGCACAAGGAACACTTGTGAAGGTCGTGTCAGGAATGCTTTGCTCTGCAAAGTATTCAACTGTTGAAAATATAGAAATCCCCACAGATAGAAACAGGAGCAGTAAGCCGACTTCTTCATAGCACTGGGTGATTGTCATCCCAAGTGAGCGTAGTCCTGAAAGAGAAAAGCTGTTGTCAGATATAGGTACCCTTCTCTTCTTCCTCTCTCCATCCTTGCAATCCACCCACAAGCATGCACTGCATAACTAGTATGTTGAGCAGTGTTCTGGGGATTTAATGGTTTGTTAATTAGGATCTGATTCAGAAAGCATCTAGTTTAGCTGATGGGACGAGGTTCAGAAGGATAAGAAGAAATATAAATACGTTCATTCATTCATTCATTCATTCACTTTTGTCATTATCGAGTTCCTACTATTACTTCTACTGTTTTTCCTAATGTGAGAAATGAGGCTAAAAGGCCAGCAGAGGCTGGGTGATGGGGGAATTGCACTTCATGAAACCAAAGGCTGTTACAGAATTGTGTGTGGAGACCTCACTTGATCAAACCTGCATTTCAATGTATCATTTCATCACTTCTTTCTATAATCAGGTCGATGCTGCCTTTTGATAAATTTTATCACCCTCATGATAAAGTTTAACACAATTGGATGCTTCATTGCCTTAAAGCCTTAGAAAAGTGTACTCAATGGCAATGAGGTAAAAGAGCAGGAGAGAGTTGGGCATCAGTGACATCACATGTATAATCAGGAAATATTCTTAACAGTGCATAAGATACTAATTGAAATTTAGTCCTTATATCCCTTGAATGTCCAACATTTCTGATTTCTTGTAAGAAGATACAACTGAGGGAAATAAAACTTGAAAGGGAATGACTAGAGAATTCAATCACTATGAAGAGAGATAGACTTGCAGGATTCCAGTACCACTTGTGAAGACTAAGCCATAAGGGGAACAAGAAACACATTATAAACCAGTATTTGAAGTAGCTATAACTAACTGTAACACCTCTCATCTTATGTTCCTATTTTGATCCATGGGGATTTATGTGGTCTATGTATACATTTTCTAAATGCTATGTTTGAATTAAAATTATCAAATATTCATGCAAATATCATAAACTTTCAATAAATTTGAAACCTTCTCTAAGGTTAGAGAACTGTTTCTAGGAGTTTCTATTTTGAAACCATATCAACATGACATCACAATAAAATTGTCATGGAAGCCCAAATCGATACCTATTAGAACTGTTTTTTGTTCTTTTCACTCATTTGAATTTATTTGAAATGCACTATAAAACTCATGATCTAATGCCTTTGAAATCTGCTCTTCAAAATTTTGATAGTCATGCCTTATAAGCTACTTATTTTTTAAAAAAAATTTTGTA